CCGTAGAAACCAGATTCAATAGATATTTTAGACATTTTCACGCGTTTTGTTAGAGAAATTTAAAAGAGAGAATCCACTTGCAACTATATATATTAGAAAATTCAGAAAAAGGTTAATTACCAAACTTCTGGGAAAATTTCAGCTACGATCAGAAACTTTCACCAATTTACCCTTTTTAATATTACCATTTCAATAGCCTCGTCTTTTTTTTTGGTCGAGCATGCCTAAAATCCATCTTGCTGGGATGTTTTTGGGTGGGGCCGAGCTCGGACTGGATCATGCCCCCAGTTGTATTTTTTTCTTTGCTAAATGATATATTTTAGTTTTTAAAAAATTACTCTCTTTAGTCTATATACAAGCTTAGGCTGCGTTTGGAAACGATGCAAATAAATGTAAATGTAAAAATGTAGAGTGTAGAATGGTTCATATAAATTGTAAAGTTGTGTTAGTTTTGTATTAACAAATTTACCTTTTTACCAAATAGACTTTTAGTTGAAATGGATGCAAACATGAATTTCTATAAAGCATATGCTTTTTTTTTTTTATCAAAAGCCCACTTGAATGCAAATTTACTTCTTTTTTATTGATGTACCTTTAAGCTGCGTTTGGAAACGATGCAAATGGAGTATAAATCCCGGTTCAGGGTAAATTTGCACTCTGGTTCACTTTTGCCTATATTTGGCAACATTACATTTATGCATTGACAAATGTGAGACCAATGCATATTTACATTGATAAATTTGCACTCTGGTTCACTTTTGCCTATATTTGACAACATTACATTTATGCATCGACAAAAATTTGCACTCTGGTTCACTTTTGCCTATATTTGGCAACATTACATTTATGCATTGACAAATGTGAGACCAATGCATATTTACATTGATAAAAAGATGTAAAAGTACATCAATAAAAAAGAAGTAAATTTGCATTCAAGTGGACTTTTGATAAAAAAGAAAAAGTATATTCTTTATTGGAATTCATGTTCGCAACCATTATGGCTAAAAGTCTGTTTGGTAAGAAGGTAAATTTGTAAGTGCAAAACTAACCCAATTTTGCAATTTATATGAACCGTTCTACACTCTATATATTTGCATTCACACTTATTTGCATCGTTTCCAAACACAGCCATACATCTTATTATCAATGTAAATATGTATTGGTCTGTCATTTGTCAATGTATAAATGTAATGTTGCCAAACATAGGTAAAAGTGAACCAGAGTACAAATTTACCCTGAACCAAGATTTACACTCCATTTGCATCGTTTCCAAACGCAGCTTTAAGGTAACAACTATTGGTGACTGACAATCTATTCTAAATTGAGATCTGCTCCTCACAGCGCTCCTCATACCACCTTACAGTCGCATTCCACCGTGTACTGAAAACATCTCCCATGAATAACAACATACAAGTATGCAAGATGTTTTCGATGTATGGCCGGTACATGCTGTTAGGAAAGTGTGACCGTGTGAGGAACGCTCTATGAGGAGGAGCAGATCCGGACTCATCTATTCCTATTAGAATGTATTTTTGAAATTATACTGTATCTTCGTATTACATACTCCTCAAACTATTATAAAATAGAAATTAGTTCTTGGAAAAGAGCAATCCATCTTTATGCATAGAATAGCATGTGCCTAGGGGTGTCAATGGACCAGTTTTGAATTGGACCCCGTCCAAACCAAATCAATTTGGACAGATTGGATGGACCAACAAAACATATTGAATTGGACCAGTCCATATTTAATGGTCCAAAGCATTTATTGGATTGGATTGGACCCGGTCCATCTATAATGAATTTATATTGGATTGGGTTGGGTTGAGCCAATATCTAGTCCATTGATAGAAGATAGGAATATAGGTGTCAATGGATTAAGTTTAAATTAGAATTAATCTAAATTAAAGCAAATTTGAACAGATTAGACTGATCCAAAATATTCATTAGATTGGGTTGGACCTGGCCCATTTGTAATGGACTCACGTTGAACTGGATCGAATTGGACCAAATCCAATCCAATTGACGCCCTTACATGTGCGTTCACACTAGTACGTACATTAAAATTCATATACATGGGGAGGTCAATTTTTCTTAAAATGTAATGACTTGGTGACACTTCCTTTAGTATCATTTGTTTGATCATTTTCTTGGAATGAGTACTGTCTCCCACATGGGATTTGATTTCATTAAATTGTGGAATTCCTGCATTTTCTTTTAATTTGTTACTCAGACTCGGAAGGAGCATCCAAATGAGAGGATGTGCAGATTTTTATAATTGATGATGAATCCAAATATAATAATATAATATGCTCAATATGGGTGGGTGGTAGGGGTGGATTCGAGCCGAGCCAAGCCGAATGCTTGGATATTTGAGCTTGGCTTACTGAAATCATGTTAGGCTCGAGTTCGAGATCAACTCGGTTCAAAGCTCACAAGTTCAAGTTCGGCTTGACTCGATTTCGACTACAAGTCATGTTTTTTTAATAAAAAATTATGCATTAGGGCTGTTCAAAAGAAGACCCAAACCGACCAACCCGAGTCGGCCGGGTTTTCATCAGCACGGGTCAGTTTCGGTTGTGCAAATTCCTAAACCGATGTGTGAAAACCGAAACCGACCCAAACCGAACCGACTTAGTTCCTAATTCAAACATGAAGTTCCAAAAGCCCATTAGGCCACCTAGTTTTTGAATGGTTGCAAGAAACTTTGGATTAGTGAATAGTGATTAATGAACAACTTTTGTGTATATGTATGTGTATGTATGTATGTGTGTATGTATATAATAAAAAATTAATTATTTATTATACTAGGCTCATGAATCTCACGAACCAAGTTTCACTAGGCTCGAGATCGACTTCATTAGCAAACGAGCCTATATATCAAGCTCGAACTCAGTTTAAACCGAATTGAGTCAAGCTTTTCATAAGCCAAACTCGGATAACTCATGAGAAACTTGGCTCGTGAGCACCCCTAGTGGGTGGTAACTTTTAATGGGACCCACTTGAGGACTAAGACTCCTAGACTAATTAGGGATGCACTTATTTATTTCATTTGTTAGTCCAAGTCAAATTTGAAATCTGATCGAAGTCGTTCTGAATTTGATCTCTTTATAAATGGATTAATTGATCGAATTTGAATCGACATTTACAGAGGAAAAAACCAGAATAGAGAAATTGGGTCTATGTAAAGTGAGATGGTTGATCACGTCAAGCTTTGTCCAATGGATAGTTTTCTTTTCGATAGTGGAAAAATAGCAAGGTCATCCAATGATCTGCCTAACTAATTTGACCAACATACATTTAGGGTTTCTACCTACCGGTCGTTAGAATGAATACAGATGTGCTCCTCCCGCCATCCTCACATCACTTGCAGCGGCAGATCTGGAACATCTCCCCTATTTGTATCTTATTATTTATGGGAAAATGTTCTTAATGCACGCTGTGAGGTGGGTGTAGTTAAGAGTACTGTTATGCGATGAGGAACTTCGAATTCGGTTAGAATGGACATAGCCATTTTGTGAATCTTTTATTTGGAAGAACGTCAAATAAAGTTGCAGTATTTACACTTAGGAATGACAATTTTTTCCATGTTTTAAATTCTAAAAGAGATATGTCCTGAATGAATCATGAATGGGAATACTTTTTCCCCCACGCAGAGGGGGATGGGAAAATTTCCATCCCATTTGTAGATGAATTAGGAACAAGAAGAGCTCTCCCTGCCACATGGGGACCTATGATGTGTGTGTATATATGTTTGTGTTTTCAATAAATGGGTTTGAGGCCCAAAACTTGGGATTCATGTTGTGTATTTGTGATTTAGTTAATGAATTTGTGTTAACACCTCAAAAAATATGGTTGAATATATTGGAATGCAAGGTTTATAAAATCAAATTGGACAACGAACCGGTCAGGGTTCTGGTTCCTGGGTCGAACGGTCTGACTGTTCGAACTGAATGGATGGTCCGTTTTGACAAAAAATAATAAAAAAAGCGGTAAAAATCGTTGAATAAGTCAAATGGTTCGATCGCCCAAGTCAGCGGTTTGCTGATTAAATCAATGTTTTTGGTGAAATAACGATTTTGGGGTAAAACAGACCTGATCGATTCTCGATTTTTCTGGTCCAACCATCCGGTCCAGTCCCATTTTAAAAACCATGTTAGAATGTATTTGAATATATTTGGTCGTACATAGAATTGTAAATTATAACTATTTTGTTTTCAATTATTTTTAGAATCAAGTAGAAATAAAACACAAAATGAATTTGTTGTCATAAAAAGAAAAAAAAAAAAGAAGGAAATGGACCCTATGGGGATGGGGAAATCTATGTACTCATACGTGGCGACGAGTTTGTCATTCAAGAATATCTTTCAATGAATTTAGCATATCCAATGCTTAATTGGATGTTGTTTTCTTAGAGTATTCACATGATTTTTATTTTTAATGTAAATTCTTCCGTGATCACGGGTGATGTTACATTACATGTTAGTAAACTGATGTATCATGCTGTCAAACTAAATTTTCAGGTAATCAGTTCCATTTCACCCTTAACCCATTTTTTTAGTTAAAAATTGGTGATGATTTTTAATTGTGTTTATTTTAAATTTTTTTAATTGTAATAGACCATTCATTCAAACTAGATAGTCCAATTGTTGGCTCAGAAACTTGTGGCCAAAGTGGTTTAGGTTTTGGATTGGCTTTCAAGATATCGTAATTTTGGAATCAGCAACAATCATGATGGTCCTTTGGTAAGTCTTTTTGGAAAAATCTTTTAATAGTTCTTCCTTAAGATCTGAGCAGTCTAAAGCCTGTTTGGTTATCGAAAATTGTCCTGTCCGCTTTTTTGTACATTGACCTTTGGCGTTTAGATCTGTGGCAAACCAAACGCAAAAAGATAAAAGACGATCTACCGTAGATCACGTGAACAGTCGCGCCAAACGGGGCCCAAATTATTTCTCCATAAATAGCACACTCAGGCGTTCCAGTTGCACGATACTCTCAGTCTCCACCATTTTCCTCCATTCTCCTTCCATGGCTACTGTCAAAATTATAACCCTAACTGTCCTTGTGGCCGGAACCCTAGCCAGTCTTTTGCCGGATCCCGTTGTGGGTCAGAACTGTGGTTGTGCCYCWAACCTCTGCTGTAGCCGGTTTGGGTACTGCGGCACAGGCAAMGMTTACTGTGGTGACGGATGCCAACAGGGTCCCTGCAACAATGGCGGTGGCGGCAGCAGTAGCGGCGTTTCAGTTGCAGACGTTGTCACACCCGATTTCTTCAACGGAATAATCGGCAAAGCGGCCTCCGGTTGCGCAGGCAAGAACTTCTACACCCGAGGTGCCTTTCTTAACGCCCTTAATTCCTACCCTCGTTTCGCTMARGATGGCTCCGCCGATGACTCGAAGCGCGAGATTGCTGCTTTCTTTGCACATGTCACACACGAGACTGGACGTAAGTTTCCTCAATTCTCTGCAACTCTGTTACTGAGTTGATTAATTTGTCTTTCAAATCTAAATCTTTTCTGGGTCTACGTACGTACAGACTTCTGCTACATAGAAGAGATCGATGGTGCCTCAAAGGACTACTGTGACGAGAGMAACACGCAGTATCCATGCGTTCCGGGCAAAGGATATTACGGCCGTGGTCCGATCCAAATATCCTGGAACTACAACTACGGRCCTGCCGGACAGAGCATCGGATTCAACGGTCTGAATGCTCCGGAGACTGTGGCTAACGACGTGGTGGTGTCTTTCAAGACTGCATTCTGGTTCTGGATGAACAATGTCCATTCGGTCATGAGACAAGGATTCGGCGCCACGATAAGAGCCATTAATGGCGGTGAATGTGGAGGAGGAAACTCCGGCGCTGTTCAGGCTCGAGTTGGGTACTACACCGACTACTGTAACAAGCTCGGTGTGTCGCCGGGTGACAACCTTACTTGTTAGAATGTAGTAATTAATTAATAACAGAGATCTCTATGAAGTTGCATTCATAGGGAAATTGAATAAACAGTACTCTAGTACTGTAGCATTAATAGAAAAGAAAATGGAGTGTAACGTAAATTAAATAATTAATAAAGGGATCGGAAGCCTTCTACTACTCGACTGTAATTTCATGGTATTTGACTCTTTCATTTGCCTTTTCTTGAACTTGACAAGTTTTGACTTTAGGCCAGCTCTAAAGGTACTTGTGTTGGCTACAAATTAAGCTGCGTTTGGAATCAGCATAAAACATCATTAATGTAAAGTTTTACATCGATAAAATTGATGTATTTTATATTGATTATCGATATAAAACTTTAAAATTAATGGGATTTTGCATCGATTGTCGACATAAAACTACACTTCATCCAAATAAACACAAAATTGAGCGAGAGTATACTTTACATCAATATTAATTACACCCTCTTTCCAAATGCATACAAAACCGAACCCTTAACTTACATCACATCCAAATACAACCTAAAGCTCATTAATTTGTTTCAAGCATTTCTCTTAATGGCTATATAACTCATTTTAAAAACCATCTCCATTAAAGATTGAAGAAGATTGGATAAATCATTTGACTCTCTTTAGCAAATTTAATTTAAACAAACTTTATTAATTCTAAGAATTTATGTTTAATCGTCCATCATATTCTTTGGTTTTATCGTCCATCTCCTTCAATAACCACTTTTCAAATCTTGTTGAATAAGATATCTTTCACCCACGTGACCTTCTTCTCTCTACTTAATTTAAATGGATAATTAATTTGGGTACCGATTATGATTCTTTCATTATCTTTAATTACTATCAAGTCCTATTTTTTATCATTATAAGAAACCATGGGTAGGGTACATGGTTGCAACAACGTACTGATCTCTTTCTCTCCCTATGCTTCTCCAACTGCAAACCTAGCTTGTGGGCGACGTGGTGTTCTACCTCATACAGCTTTCACATGTTATAAATGTTTTGGTATTTCCTTTCTTTATGTTAGTCAATTTGCATGTGATGATAATTGCTTCTTTGAATTTCACCATTGTTGATCGATGCTCGGGGCATTTCTAATGGACGGATTGGACAGACTAACAAGACATATTGGATTGGACCAATCCAGTCCAAAATATTTATTAAATTGGATTGGGTTGGATTAAGCGAATATCTGGTCCATTGATATAAGATAATAATTAATATATCTGTCAATGGAGTGGATTTGGATTGAAACCAATCAAAATCAGAATGAATTTGAATAGATTAGATAGTCCAGACATTGAATTGGACTGGTCCAAATTAGTCCAAAATATTCATTGGATTGGATTGAATCTGGTCCATTTATAATGGAATCACATTTGACTAGATCAGATTGGACCAAATCCAGTCCAAATTGACACCCCTAGGCCACTATATCAACTTCTCATCCCAGTGCACTCCTTTCTCTAAGTCTCCATTCCTGCCCTTTGTCCCCCCCCCCCCCCCCGGGCTCTCTCTGTACCTTTTGGGATGAAGCCCTACAAACCAGATCTCCTCATAAATAGATTGCCCACTGCAATTCTCAATTAATATCATGGTTTTAAAAAACGACCTAGAAATGGAATTGTTTTGGCCACCGGTTTCTAGGTTGATGGTTCGATCATCTAGTTTGAACGGACGGCTCGTTCTAACAATAAAAATTAAAAAAATAAAAAAGTCAAAAACCATTGAATGGATTGATGGGTTGACTGCCCGGGTCAATGGGTTGTTGACTGATTCAATGACGGTGGTCTGAGTGTGTGGATCAACGACGGTTCAAAAACCATGATTAATATAGTGCCACACCCTATGAAGTTCATGCCTTGCATGATCACTCTCATTACCATGGCCATTCTTGGTTATAGCCTTTCTCACAAAGGTTACCAATGTTTGAATCCCACTGTATCATTATTAGTCGTGATGTGGTTTTTGATGAAAAAGTATTCCATCCCCTTCTTAACTATTACGGGTTCTCAGTGTTCTCTTTGCATAATTTTTCAGTGAAAATTAATTTGGATGGATTGGATGGACCAATAAGACATATTGGATTGGACCAATCTAGTCCAAAATATTTATTAGATTGGATTGGACCTGGTCTGTCCATAATAAATTTAACATTGGATTGGGTTGGATTAAACCAATATCTGGTCCATTGATATAAGACAAGAATATAGGTGTCAATGAACTGTGTTTGGGTTGAAATCAATCTAAATTAAAACAAATTTGAACATATTAAACGATCCAGACATTAAATTGGACTAATCCAAAATGATCCAAAATATTCATTGGATTGGATTGGATCTGGTCCATTTGTAATGGACTCACATTGGACTGGATCGAATTAGACCAGTCCAATTGACACCCCTTCTATTAGCCTCCTATACCTTCTTCCTCTCCTCTACTTAATAACTTCCCCTCCACCTAAGTTTTGCTCTATAGAGTCCATTGCATGATGCGCCACTTGCTCTCCCACCAGTTTGATCTCACTCCAAGACTACTAGGTCCCAATCACATGTTTTCGAGGCTATATTGCATGTAATGCTACAAATACCCTATAGTGCATGTATTGCTTTCTTCACTTACTGATGATCTAGTGGAACCTGCTTGTTTTCACAGGTGCAAAAGCTAGCTTAATGGAGGCGTACCATGGGTTAGGGCTTTGATGTCCTCATGAATAATGGAACATGGAATTTGGTACCTCCTCAGCCACATATATGTGAACATAATTGGATTTAAATGGGTATATCCAAGGTTTTAAAAACCGACCTAGAACCAGAATCATTCTGGCCATTGGTTTTTGGTTCGACAGTTTGACTGTCCAGTCCAAATAGACGTACTATTCAACAAAAAAATAAAAAATGGCCAAAACTATTGAACAGGTCAACAGTTCAACCTCCCGAGTTAGCGGGTCATTGACCAATTCAACAGTTTTTGGCCAGGGACCGGGTTTGCGGTAAAACAGAACCAGTTTCCTAGACGGTTCCTAGGCTGAACAATACAACCATCCAGATCAATGGTAGTTCGAAAACATTGGGTATATCATATAAAGAAAAATGTTGATGATTCGATACAATGGTTTAAGGAACGACTTGTTGGTCAAGTTTTTTCTCAATAACCAGGAGTTGATGTTGGAGATACTTTAGCCTACTTGTCGAACCTACTAGAGTAAGAACAATACTTCGCCTTGTATCTTGGAGAGGACGACTGGTTAGGTAACCTGTTGCTGCCTAGGATGGTTTGAGGGCAACAAGGTAAATCCACTTCTAAGCTGAAGGCTGACTAATGAGTCTGAAGTTCGCTAAGGCCGAAGGCTGGTAGGTTAGACCTGTGGAGAGAGAGAGAGAGAACGTCAGAGGCCCCGGGTGCTGGCCCAAGGTGGAGATTTCGACGGTCAAGTTAGTACTGGTATGACGGGAGGCGGACGAGGCTTGATGTTGGGATGGTCAAATGAGGTCACGAGGGAGGCAAGGAAGTTCTTAGCAGTAAAGAGTCTAGATGCTCACCTTGAGGGGTCACCCCTATTTATACTTGAGCCTAGAGGTAGGTGGACACGAACGACCAGGATGCAGTCTGGCCTTGAGGGCGTGGCCATCTGAGGCCTCCGCGTGCGGCCGTGCTATTGGCCCTACATCACATGCCGACCTCTGCTCTACGTTCGCTCTCATTGGATCCGCTCTGTGCGCCACCTTCCGCCACGCGCGTGCGTGCCATTGGCTCGAGTTATAAGCACATACATCATTTGCCCCTCACTCTTGAGGCCGTGGTGGAGGTCTTATCTGAGGACCTTGGCTTTGGTCGAAGAGAGTGTGTTATCTTCACTGGGAGACCCAGATGGATCTTTTTAACGAGGGCCTCGGCCTTGGCTTCATCTTGTCGAGGGTGCACTTAGTTTTTGATTGCGGTGGCATCGACTCGGTCTTTGGTTCTCCTTCCGAGGAGTGTTGTAAAGGTTCTACCATGCCGAAGCCTCGACCTCGGCTTCTGCAAGTTCGAACCCATGTTGGATATGGGTAGAGGCGTACTTGCCCCCGGGTCCTGCACTTTGCTGATGTCGTGGTGAATCTATACAAGGTGTAGGCCTCGGTCGGTGGTCATCGAGGGTGACACTTGGTGGTAGGTGGTTGTGCATTGACCATGCATAGGACGGGTCCTGCTACTAACAAGCTACAAACCGTGTGGGGGATGATTTCTGGCATCGGCTGCCGGCCATGTGCACTATGGGTCTCCATACTAACGGGCCAGGGCCGTGCTCGAGATGGGCTCCAGGTTGGAGCCGTGCATGGTACGGGTGACCGCACCGTATCAGTATGCGAAACGAGAGCTAGGTTGATCGGGTCCCGCTACTTCTGGTTCAGGATCGCCGGGCGAACCATCTAACTCAACGAGTAGACTGACCGTCTCACTCAGCGCCATTTTGGTTCCCCGAGGCGAGTGACATTTTTCTGTCGTTGGATTGTGCCGTAGAGGCGGTCTCTCCGTGGCCATTAGATTGAAGGCGATCTGGGCCGTCCATTTTCCTTTAAATAGGGAACTTAGTCGAGTCTGCCCTCACCACTTGCTTCCAAGCACTTTAGCTTTCAAAGACCTCGAACTTCCTTCCTGCCTTCCTTAGAATTTTCTAGACCTTGTCTTCCTAGGTAAAGGACTTCTCCTGGTACAATGTCTTATTCAAACTCTGGCCTAGAATGCTATGGACTCCCAAACCCTTCGAAAGTAAGCTCCTTCCAAACCCCGATGCTTGCCAGCAGTAGCGAAGGCTACTCGGCTGAGCTTGGGGTCCTTGCTCCAAGGCCTACGGTAGAGGTGTTGAGGGAGAGGACTGCCTCCATAGACGCTAAATGCAACCAAAGGGGTGATGACTCCCCAAATGAAAGTGCTAGATCTATGAGGCCAAGGGGTCCCTGGGGTCACCCAAGGTGGTCGAGGGTGAGGAAGTTGTAGGGGGAGCCGATCTTCATGACCAAGTACTCATTCATCCTCATCACTTGCCGAGGTTTTGTCCCTACCGTGACTAGTAGGGTGATTCTTCCCTCCGATTTGACAACATTATCGAAGAAGCCAACGAGTGGCACGTTGGCGGGCTGGAGGCGCTTGGGCGCCAGCTTCATCTTC